GCAAGCAAGCACGCAAGCAAGCAAGCACGCAAGCAAGCAAGCAAGCATGCGAACTTAATATAAAAGATTTAAAAAAGCCTCGAATCTAACATAGTAGGCAGGTTGCAAATCCACTTCTGTTGCCTCCCCATTGTCTGAAATTCCATTCTCCAGCCGTCCATGCTGCCAACACCTTGTCCCTGTTTAAGTCCAGGCTCAAGACCTTCCCCCCCCCCTGCCTATGGCTGTCTCGTTTCTCTCTACAATAACGATCTATGCCTACTGTTTGGTCACAGCATCCTGAGACGTGGTTGCGTTTACACACGTAAAAAAAAAACTACATTGCACCGACTCATATACTCACACAGACCCATAAACTGAAATAGACAGTAATATTCTTGGTTCTTTCGGTAAAGTCACGTAGAAGGGAAATAATAAAATAATAAAAATACAATTACAATAAAATTGTCACGACGTTTTGATTAAAACACAACCAATCATCATCAGATGTGAAAACCACAGCAAGAAAATTTGAAGAAAAAAAACGCCACTTTTTTCAAAATTTCTTGCTGTGGGTTTCACACCTGATGATGATTGCTTGTGTTGCAATCGAAACGTCGTGATAATTTAATTGTTAAATTTTTATTATTTTATTATTTCCCTTCTACGTGACTTTACCGAAAGAACCAAGAATATGAATCCCTGCAGTCACGAAAGCTTTAAATCGAAATTTAGCCAGCAATACTCAAATACCCATATACTCACACAAAGACCCATATACTCACACAAAGACCCATGGCTGCCTCTATAAAATCAATATGCCTAGTTTATATACAGCATGTAAAGATACCGTTACAATTATACGTTATAAAAATGAAAACTGTATTCTGTATCGCACTCGAACTGGCATCATAATGCAATATACATACACGGGGCATTTCAATTGAATTAGATGATTGACGACTTGCCAAAATATTGACGGCGTCCCAGTTAAGGCACGCGTGCATAACCACGTGTAATAAAGCTCATTGAGGCGACTTCTGGAATCCGTCTTTTATTCAACTTGTATACAGCTTTCCTTCACACTGCTGACAGGCAGCGTGAGAGGGACAGATAGAGAGACGCACTGCCACGTGGCAACCCAGAGCCCCGCTCCCGCGTGGCCCCATTCCTCTGTTCGTTCCCGTTCTGACCCCATGTCGCTCGTCTCCACCCCTATTTAATACCCGGGTCACGTGGTACGTTTCCGCCAATCCTCGTTAGCCTCCATGGAATATTCCAGGCCCCCTCTAAGCTTCCGGGACCACGCCCCTGACTCCTCTCCCCATTGGCTGTGGCCAAAGCCAGCAGAACCAATCCTTATTACGTCAGGGCCACGCCCCTAGGCTTCCCCCATTGGCTATAAACCAGGACCGGCAGAGGCAATCATCATGACGAGTTGTGATACGTCAGTGAGCCGGATATATCCTCACATTACACACGGATGGAGGTGACGCATGCAGCGGGGATGGCCAGGGCCACACAGCCGCTGTGAAATGAAGTCGTAGAAACAGAGGGTAAACATTCAATCTCGATTTGAAGCTTTCGTGACTGCAGGAATCCATACTCTTTGGTTCTTTCGGTAAAGTCACGTAGTTAGAAATAAAAGAAAACAAATCACGACGTTTCGATCGCAACACAAGCGGCCGTCATCAGGCAAAGGAGTAAGCCTCTAAAGGCAAACTGTTTATAAAGGTTTGGGGATGGGCGTAGCCCAAGTGGATCAACAGCACCAGGAGCACGGGCGGTGCACGAGTGCCAATGCAGCAACAATGCCAATGCAGCAACAATGCCAATGCAGCAACAATGCCAATTCAGCAGCAACGCCAATGCAGCAACAATTCCAATGCAGCAGCAATGCCAATGCAGCAGCAATGCCAATGCAGCAACAATGCCAATGCATCAGCAATGCTAATGCAGCAGCAATGCCAATGCAGCAGCAATGCCAATGCAGCAACAATGCCAATGCAGCAACAATGCCAATGCAGCAGCAATTCCAATGCAGCAGCAATGCCAATGCAGCAGCAATGCCAATGCAGCAGCAATGCCAATGCAGCAACAATGCCAATGCAGCAGCAATGCCAATGCAGCAACAATGCCAATGCAGCAACAATGCCAATGCAGCAGCAATGCCAATGCAACAACAATGCCAATGCAGCAGCAATGCCAATGCAGCAGCAATGCCAATGCAGCAACAATGCCAATGCAGCAACAATGCCAATGCAATAACAATGCCAATGCAGCAACAATGCCAATGTAGCAACAATGCCAATGCAGCAGCAATGCCAAAGCAGAAACAACGCCAATGCAGCAACAATGCCAATGCAGCAGCAATGCCAATGCAGAAACAATGCCAATGCAGCAACAATGCCAATGCAGCAACAATGCCAATGCAGCAGCAATGCCAATGCAGCAACAATGCCAATGCGGCAGCAATGCCAATGCAGCAGCAATGCCAATGCAACAACAATGCCAATGCAGCAGCAATGTCAATGCAGAAACAATGCCAATGCAGCAACAATGCCAATGCAGCAACAATGCCAATGCAGCAGCAATGCCAATGCAGCAACAATGCCAATGTAGCAGCAATGCCAATGCAGCAGCAATGCCAATGCAGCAGCAATGCCAATGCGGCAGCAATGCCAATGCAGCAGCAAAGCCAATGCAGCAGCAATGCCAATGCAGCAGCAATGCCAATGCAGCAGCAATGCCAATGCAGCAGCAATGCCAATGCGGCAGCAATGCCAATGCAGCAGCAAAGCCAATGCAGCAGCAATGCCAATGCAGCAGCAATGTCAATGCAGCAGCAATGCCAATGCAGCAGCAATGCCAATGCAGCAGCAATGCCAATGCAGCAGCAATGTCAATGCAGCAGCAATGTCAATGCAGCAGCAATGTCAATGCAGCAGCAATGTCAATGCAGCAGCAATGTCAATGCAGCAACAATGCCAATGCAGCAACAATGTCAATGCAGCAACAATGCCAATGCAGCAGCAATGCCAATGCAGCAACAATGCCAATGCAGCAGCAATGTCAATGCAGCAGCAATGTCAATGCAGCAGCAATGTCAATGCAGCAACAATGCCAATGCAGCAACAATGCCAATGCAGCAGCAATGCCAATGCAGCCGCAATGCCAATTCAGCAGCAATGCCAATGCAGCAGCAATGCCAATGCAGCAGCAATGCCAAACGCTGGGGATGCGGGAAAGGGGAAATTTACTCGGAGAAGCAGACCAGTACCCGGCAGATATAATTTACGAGCGTAATTCGGACGGTGCAATTCCTATCGCGTAGGAGCTCCGTTTCGCGGAAGAGTAGACCATAGAATCAACATCTTTCTCGCATTTGCGCTGAAGATGAGTCAGCAAGTGAATGTTCCCCGATCACTTATGAGAAGGAAAGAAATAAACAGTTCCAAGGCACGACTGAAAATGCGAGTAACTCAATTACGGCTGACTGCGATGTAATTAAGCTCTGCAGCGGAACGCACTCAACATCACTTTAGTTCAAAGTACCCCCCCCCCCCCGCTCTTTGCTCATTATTTATTTTTACTACCATTAATACGTGATTTTTTTTTTACAACGAAAAATCTATTTCATTTCGACATGCGTACACGTACGAAAGGCAGTTTTAAGTAATTTTTTAAACGCCGGCGGCGGTTAATTTTTTTGTCATGATTTGTTGACGCTCTATGTTTATTGCAGATCACACGCACGACGGGCAATGTGGGGGAGTCTGCTTTTCGTTAGCGGCGCAAATTCACTACCACGGGACACATTCAACTCGTTACGAGTTCAGGCAGCCGTGGGATGACCTCATCGATAATTTTTTAACTCGCTGTAATTGTTGTGCATTTAAAAAAAAACTAATTGCGGCAGGACAGATTTATATTTTTTTTGTGTGTTATTCACGAAAGCCATTTGTTTCTAATTGGCTGTAATTTCATCTACTGGTACAGAGAATGTTTTTTTGACATCGTTAACGTAGAGAATAACGCAGGGATGTGTGCGTTTGGCGCACGGCGCTTTGCCGAGGTCCCAAATCCCAATTCGCAAATGCTGATTCTGGTGTTTTTGCTTAATATTCCTGCACAGTCATATCATTTGGGAGGGATCCTACCGCTGGTGCACTGGTTAGCGCTTTTCGCTTACAAACCAGAGGTCGCCGGTTCATTCTTCAGTTGAAACAATGGGGCAAGTTTTTATTTACATTTTAAATCCCTCTTCAAACCTCTGGCCACCCAGCAGTATAAATGGGTGCATCCCAGTTGGACCCGCGTGGTGGGGTAAAGTGTGGGTACTCTCACCTCTTCCAAAAACGTTTAGCCAGTGTGGAAGAGTAGACCAAATACCCTCAAGAGCTCCCTCTAGTGGAGGCCCTTCCGCCGGCCGTGGCGTGCGCAAGCAACTTTACATGCACAATGGAACAAGATAACTGTTTTAAATAAATGTCAGTCGATCCTTGTTCATACGACTCTAAGGAGGCACTTAGCTGATATTTACAACCTTGAACCAGTGGTGGAAATTCCCCATATCGACGGTGGAGGCAGGGTGTGTCTGCAAGACAAGCACTGCTGACTTCCAACAAACAAAGTGGTACTAATTGTATTGACCCTGGAGGGATGAAGACCTGAAGTTGACCCCCAACGTGTACGTATGTAGAACTTCTTTCGCACCGTACGTAGACAGCCGTGCTAATCGGAGGTGCGGGGGAAGGACAACAAACTAAACACATGAAGCAATTCGAAAGAATTTCGTTTTCAACGTAGATCATTTAAAAGCGGAATCCTCATATCGGAAGAAAGAGCATTCCAGACGGCCGCAGAAGCGCGTCTGAAAACGCGCGATGCGGTGTCCGCCTTTGTTCGATGGCTGAGCTAAAAGCCGCCGCTGCTGCTGCGAGAATGACCGGAGTTCGCGTGATGTGAATGCGTAGATGTGCAACGTCGCGGGAGTGTTTGGGGAGTAAAACTGGACTCACGGTGACGACCGGAGGTCCAGGTGGGCCTGGAAGTCCCATGTCTCCCTGCAAACACACACACACAGGGTCAAAGGTTAAAGCTAGACCAGGGCAGCCTCTCTCGGTTAATCCGCCAGTGGTGTTGGCGGTGGCAAAATCGCGTCTGTCATTCGGTGTTTTCGAGGCAAGGGTAGTACTAATCACATTCCTGCATTTCCCATAAATATGCTAAATTCCTCTTGATATGCAAATTATTTTGTCAAGGCGCACTTCCCCCCTTCCAACCCAGCTTAAATAGACGCTCCAAGCATGGTGCTGTTTCATTCAGACGCTGTCTCCCCGACAGACCTGGTCTTCACCTGTGGACGGCTGCTTGCGTTGTGGCCGAAACGTCGTGAGAATTATTTTATTATGTTTTATTATTTTATTACTTCCCTTCTACGTGACTTTACCGAAAGAACCAAGAAGAAGGGTAGGTGGCTCACGTAGAGACTATTCGTGGTCATCTAAACTCGGCTTGTTGTACTGCCAGACGATTGCAGTAGAACAAGTGGGTTCACCGACTTGCCCACAATTATCTCCGGTTGCTAAGTTGTTGCGCGTTATGCAGACGCTGCAGAGATCCACGTGGTAATCGTAGGACTGCACTGCAAGCGAGATTGCAAACAAACTCGCAGGGAGTTGCAGAGAGCGCTGGCCCTGGGTGTGACTGGCCATCGCCCCTCACCTTGTCTCCTTTAGAGCCGTCCTTGCCAGGGTTACCTGGCATGCCTGGGATTCCCTGGGAAATCATGGAGGAGCGGGTTAGAAATAAACAGAAACATTTTCACGTGTAAAAATAAATATGTAACTGGATGTACAAGTACAGTTTTCCGGCGTAATTCACGAACTTGCTATCCGCGATTTCGGCTATCCGTGAATCGCACCTGGAAGTCGATTCGACTGCACGAGAGAGAGAGAGAGTGATGAGAGAGAATGTGATGAGTTAAAGTGATGCGATAACGTAAGTTCATTTCTAAACTGTAATTTAATATTCTTGGTTCTTTCGGTAAAGTCACGTAGAAGGGAAATAAAAAAATAATAAAAATAAAACAATAAAATTCTCACGACGTTTCGATTGCAACACAAGCAATCATCATCAGGTGTGAAAACCACAGCAAGAAAATCACAATATAATTTAATACTTTAATATTAATTTGTATTTACTTCATGTTTATTATATTATAATCAATTTGTATGTGTTTGTGTTATGATAATTGTCATGCATTTAATAGCATATTTGTGCATTTATTCAAGGCAATTCATTACAAATGTCGATATTTGCGAAATTTGCTCTTCACGAGAATCTCTGGAACGTATCCCTCGCGAATAACGAGGGAACACTGTATGCGCGATTCAGTTGCGTTGGTAACGTTCCAATCTTTTTCGATTTCAGGCTTTCGTGACTGCAGGGATTCATCTCCTTGGTTCTTTCGGTAAAGTCACGTAGAAGGGAAATAATAAAATAATAATAAAAAATAATAATAAAATACAATTCTCACGACGTTTCGGCCACAACGCAAGCAGCCGTCCTCAGGTGAAGAACAGGTCTGTCGGAAAGACAGCGTCAGACGGCTGCTTGCGTTGTGGCCGAAACGTCGTGAGAATTATTAAATTTTATAATGTTTTATTTTTATTATTTTATTATTTCCCTTCTACGTGACTTTACCGAAAGAACCAAGAAGATGAACGTTCCAATCGTTAACTTTCGTTTACGGAGCATTTGATAACGTTAGGTGAGAAATCATCAGGTGTTAGGAGCGGTGGCGCAGTGGTTTTGTTGCGGTGTGCCAAAAAGCCCATCGACCTGGAAGTTTCTCTTCCCAGCCACAGCCCACGTCAGCGGCGAAAGATATTCAAAGTAGTTCTGGCCTCATCCCCACAAGCCATCGGCATACCCCGCGCTGACCAGCGTGTTTTTGCATGTTCACCACAAGTACGTTACGGTCAATGCAGAGGCATGATTCCTTGCCAAAGGTTTCTATTTGGTGTGTATAACATCTCAACACCTGTTTTATTTGCCAGAAAGGGTAAAACCAATTCTCATGTTTTGATACCGGCAAGAAAGGTCCCATGATACCCTCCATCATCATCATGGTGCTGTCAAACCCCCAATAGGTTTAAATGTGTGGTGGCCTTCACACGGATGTCCCCCCCCCATGAAAATTAGTGGGGGAGCGCTGTTCTATCACGACAATCAATTCAATGGACCGTTCCGTGTGCATCCGTTTGCTGAGACGGCTCAAGTCGCACGTGAGAGAGGCCAACACAGCCCAGCAAGAAATATTCGTCGTTTTCAAAACCGACCCCGACTATTTATTCATTCATTCATCCTTCCACCGGCGTCGTGGCGGCACCCCCCCCCCCTCTACCATCACCCCCCACCCCTCCAGGGGTGTGGCGATCCTCCCGGGATGCGCCCAGACAGCAGCACGACCCCGAGGAAGCCAAACGCAGCCAAACCCAATAAAGAGACCATCCCAGTGTGGCCGGACAGAGCCCAGCGCCGGCCGCCCTAACACAGCCCCAGACATTGCAATGTGGGGGGAGGGGGGGGGAGTAGGAGGGGGGAGCGTGCAAGAGGGAGAGTAAAAACTAAAATAAAATATTTATAATTATTATTATTATTAGCGGAGGCGGTGAAAGGAGGGTCACGAGACTGGGTTCCTATATTTCTCCGCCACTCTTTCAACTCGTCTCCCTGCCAGGTGTGTCCAAGGCCGAGGTTTAAGCGTGCGGATGTGCGCGTGCGCGCGTGGATGTGGGGAGCGGTGCAACAAACAAGGAACGGATGAGCGCGCGAGAGAGCAGAGAGCCAAAAGCACGAGAGAAAGAGTGGAAAACGATCGCGCGCGGCCACGGAAACATCCGACTAGAAGAACTCTCGAGGAGAGATCACGGAGGGGAGCCAGAGAGAGAAAGAAAAAAAAAGCCGTGGAAAAAGAATAAAACCGAGCCATGGAGAAGAAATATTTAAAGCGTGGAAGGATTAGTTATTTAACAAGGGTCATCCAAACTTGCGGTGGTAGATTGTTACCCATAATCAATATGGTCCTCGAAGACGAACGCGTGTTGGAAAGCATTACAGAAATCATTCACGTGCAAGTTTTTTTGTTTTCTAACTTGCTTCAACGGTGCTGGCCAGAGTAATGTCCAGGCCTGCATCACTATAACAAAGGTTTTATACGGGTCGCACTCATTACACACAGAATGCTTGCCGCAAATGAACCATAATACCTCCGGTCACACTCACACAGCGGCTTTTGTATTGCCGTCGAACAAAGATTCACAACATCGCTCGCTTTCAGATGCGCTTCTGCGGCCGTCTGGAACGCTCTTCTGATGTTCGGAAGCCACAGGAGCTGTGCACTTTGAAGTCTGGATTGAAAACTCACTACTTAGAACCTGCTTTTTGTGTGTTAGTTTGTTGTACCGCTACGTACGGTGCGAAAGAAGTTCAACACGCGTACACACAAATACTAAGACACGTGCAAAATCAAGAACAATGCAAGATAACTTATAAGCAAGCATCGGCGTATTCGTGGTTCTATCGGTAAAGTCACGTAGAAGGGAAATAATAAAATAATAAAAATATGAAACAATAAAAAAGTATCACGACGTTTCGACTGCAACACGTGACTTTACCGAAAGAACCAAGAATATGAATCGCTGCAGTCACGAAAGCTTTAAATACATTTTTTAGCATCGCCGTGTTTTGTTTGTCGTGTGTGATTTTTCTCAAACCACGATCGCCAGCACAGCCCATGACACCTGTCCACCGTTTCAGCACAAGGGACTTTGTTTGCTGGCATGAGCTTACACCCTCCAAATGAAGACAATGATGATGATGAGGATAATAACTAAATAACACCCGGGCCGGCGATGCCACGCGATATCGGACGTGACGGGGGGGAGGGAGGCGGGATAACGAGAACGCTGACGGACCGTACGGCCAACAGGTGCTCCTCCCGCGAGTGACGGAGACGCCGAGGAGACATTCCGTAACGCCCGCAGGCCGAGCCTCGTCAAAACCCCAACAGCAGCACCCCCCCCCTCCTCCTCCTCCTCGTCGCCCCGGGGGGAACGGAGCGATGAGATGAGCGCGAGACCGTCAAGAGGCGACGGCGCGCGGACCCCCATCCCCCTCCTCCCCCAACCGCGGGAGGTGGCTTTTTTTTTCGTTCGTTTCCTTTTTTTAAACTTTTTGTTCTGTTTGTTTTGATTGCTGCCAGGCCGGCGTCGATGATAACCGAGCCGCCACCACCACCCCTCCCCCACCCCCCAGACCCTTTGGTGAAGGAGGCCGGCCCCGGCGAGAACGGCCACGCTGTTGCGTCGCTGGGAATTCGAAAGATGCGCGGAGAGACGCTCGTTAAGAGATTTCGGAAGCCAATTGGTCGTGCTGTGTTCAGGGCCAGATTAAGTTTGATGGAGGCCCGGGGCTGTTATAGGTTTTTTTTGGGGGGGGGCAGCGGGGGAGGAGCCCTTTTGTGTCAATTATATTCAATTTCTTCCCTCGACTGTGTTTGCCACCACCCATGCCCGATGATGACACCAAAGACTCCGATGCTATTCACTTTGGTTGTTTCAGTTCCAGTTTGTTTTAATGTGATATACGAAGCAAACCTAAAATTATTATTTCGGCACGCAGCTGATAGTAACGCACTTTACCGATGGCACCGCTTTAATGATCAAATTCCCTTGAGGATTTTGATGTCATGGGCAAGAAAGTTCAGGTCCGTTCCTTTTTACCATACACTGCATCTGCTCATGCCGTCAAGTAGTTATGTTATTTGTATTAAATCTGGCCCAGGGTGGCTGGGTTTGTGTTTGTGTGTGTGTTTTTTTTTTGTGCAGAGTTATAATTACTTTTCAGATGTCAAAGGCGAGCGTGATTATTGGCGACGGATAAAATGTCTCTTGATGATCAAGTGATTCATCGCGGCGGGAAGCCTCTCGCGGGTTCTCCGGAGGATTCACATCCGCTTCGGGCTGCTCCACTTTCAAGCGTTTTTGTTTTCTGCTGAGCATCGTCATTTATTTATTCCGCACCCCCCTCCCCCCACCCACAGTTCCCCCACCCCCTCCCCCGCTCCCACCACCCCCGACATAAACAAAACCCTTTGATCACTTTCTCCGGCACGTAACAGGTAACGTGTTTTGGAGAAGACACAAAAACACACACGCGCGGCTCAGCCGATCCTCTACAATGCATTGCGCTGACAAAAGAACATGAAATTCAAACAGTGCTCGCTAACGCCGTCCACACACTGCATGTTTCGGGGGCAGCTAATACAATCACGCGCCAGAGGTATTCGTGATTTAAAAAAAAACTCGGTTTTGTAGTCATTGACATATTTCCGACATTCGCATGCTCGCAATGCATGCATCGGATCACGCACGCGCGTGTGTTCTCCCCTAGTTGGATTCAAAGGATATTTGCACATTCATCTGGTCACAAACCGTTTCTCAATCCACTGCTGGATGATGGACTTCGCCCCCCCCCCCCCCCACCCTGCACGCGGGGAGTGATGAGAGTTTGTTGGAGCCACCCTGGTCAGTGCGGGCTGGTGAAGGTTGGCAGTGGAGTCTATACGAGCGGTGGATTGTACTGCACTGCCCTCTGTGTGCGCATGTAAGTGGAACTTTTAGTTGATGTTGTTTAGTCATCACCTTGTCCGCTATTGCTCGTTGGAAGCGCGTGGGACCTGTTCGCGACGAGTGGCTATCAGCGCTGTGTCG